AACTGAGGCCTTGTCTATTTAAAATGCTTTCCTGAGCCTGACTAGAGTTTCGTCAAGTAGTCTCTAGGTAGGCAAAATCAGGTAAAATCAGTTTGGTCCTTATGTGAGCAGCTAGAGAAATATGTAAAAGCCCGGGAGCGGCTGGAGCTCTGTGATGAGTGTGTATCATCCTGGCTGCAGACAGAGGAGGATTGCACAGGAGCTCTTGGACTTTCCTTCATGCAAGGGATCACTGCATGTCTTCAATGGCTTGAAATAATTGTGCAGACTCATTTACTCCAGTCTACATCACTTGGGCACCCGGATATTTTCTTATGGTTATAAATATGCCATCTGTTTCTAATTTGTGTAAATTCATGTGAACCTCATGGATTTTAGCATAGGGAAGTTCTGTGTAATAGCAGTAATCCCTTCATAATAAGTTTCAGTGCTATACACACACAACAAAAACAAAGAAAGAAAGACAATGGAAGGAGCATACTGTCATGGTATCAGAAAGAAACAGTAGATGTTCAACCATTTCAGGAGGTAGCATAAGATCAAGAGCCTATGGTACTAAAGGAAGTCCAAGGCACACTGAAGGCATTGGCAAAAAAAAAAACAACGCTCCTAGAACTGACAGAATACCAACTGAAATATTTCAACAAACTGATGCAGCAGTGGAGGCGCTCACTCATCTATGCCAAGAAATTTGGAAGACAGCTACCTGGCCAACCTATCGGAAGAGATGCATATCTGTGCCCGTTCCAAAGAAAGGATACACAACGGAACACAGAAATTAACGAACAAAGTCATCAATTACACCTACAAGTAAAATTTTGCTGAAGATAATTAAAAAAAGGTTGCAGCAGTACATTGACAGGGAACTGCCAGAGACTCAAGCCAGATTCAAAAGAGGCCGTGGAACAAGGGATATAATTATTGCTGAAGTCTGATGCATCTTGGCTGAAAGCAGAAAATACCAGAAAGTTGTTTATTGTTCTTTATTGACTATGCAAAGGCTTTTGACCACGAGTAATAGCAAACTATGGACAACACTATAAAGAATGAGGAACCTCAGATCGAGAGGTAGTCATTTGAACAGAACAAGATACTGAATGGTTTAAAATCTGGAAAGATGTGTGTCAGGGTTCTATCCCTTTCACCATACTTACTCAACCTGTAGCTGAGAAATTGATCTGAGAAGCTGGCTCTGAAGAACACGGTGTCGTGATTGAAGGAAGAGAGTCATTAACAGTCTGTAGCATGCAGAAGATACAACCTTGTTTTCTAGACACAAAGAGGACTTAAAAATACTTATTGATGGAGATCAAAGACTACAGCTTTCAACATGGATTGTACCTCATGAAAAAAAAAAACTACCCACAGCTGGATCAAAAAATAATACCATGATAAATGGAAAAAAGGTTGAAGTGGTCAAAAACTTCATTTGGCTTGGATCCACAATCAACACTCATGGAAGAAATCAAACGATGTACTGTATTACACAAAGCCATGATATTTTCAGTGCACCATACACAAAGGAGCTCTGGTAGCGTAGTGGTTACGAATCGGGCTGCGAACCTTAAGGCCAGCAGTTCGAAACTACCAGTTGTTCCGCAGGAGAAAGAAGAGGCGTTCTGCTCCCGTAAAGATTTACAGCCTCGGAAACCCTGTACAGGGTCGCTATGGGTCGGAAACGACTCGACAGCACTTAACAACAATACACATGTGAAGGCTGGACAATGAATAAGGAAGACAACAGAGGAATTGATGCATTTGAATTATGGTGTTTGTAAAGAATCTTTAAGTACCATGAAGTGCCAGAAGAACAAAGTCAGTCTTGGAAGACAGACAGCCAGAACGTTCCTTAGAAGCAGGGATGGTGAGACTTCATATCATGTACTTTAGGCATAGCAGAAGGGACTAGTCCCTGGAGAAGGACATCATGCTTGGAAAACTGGAGGGTCAGTGAAAAAGAGGAAGCCCCCTAACAAGATGGACTGACACAGTGGCAGCAACAATGGGCTCAAATGTAACAACTGTGAGGGGGCTCAGGACTGGTCCGGGTTTTCATTTTGTTGTATGTACACGGTTGCTATCAACTGGAACCCACTCGATAGGCACCTAACAATGACAGTAGGCCACCCTTCATAAATGGATACTTGTGTTTCCACTAGCTGAGTTATAAGCTAACCAGAAGTCTGTTTTATTTGTCCTAAATTTTTAATTGTACTAACTATGTGGTTTAGTCAGTCTGTAAACTGTCAAAAACTAAGTGCAACAAGAAAAAAAGTTGTTTTAATAAAAACTAAGTTGAATGTTTTAGAAATAATTAACAATGATAAGCCTCTAAAATCAATTCCAGATGCATTAGGGGTAAAACCATTATAAAAAGCTAGGGAAAACCTGAACACATCTAGGATGTTTCAGTACTAAGATTATAACTGAAGTGTCTAAATTTTTACACTTAATGATACAAAAATTTGAAATTATAAGCAATATATTATTTTAGAGAGATGACATAAAATGCTACATAGCAGACACATACACAAAACAAATAAAAAAACAAAAACAAAGAACTTGCCTTAAAAGACTGGCAAATTTCTATAGCACAGGCAGTGCCTGGGTTCTGAATGAGATCTGCTGCTGTGTCTTTAAGTGGACTTTGTAGGTGAACTGCAACAGGTGCAGATAGTTCTTATTTAGCCTTAACTGTAGTGCAAGCAAAGTCTTGTCGCCTTCTCAGTGACTTAAACGCTATACATGTAGCAAGTGAAGGTGATCATGATGAAGAATTTGTTGCGAGGAGGAGCTGATTCAATTTTTTCAAAGTGAGGACAAACACAATTGTTCACAAGTTTGACATCTGTGACCCCTGAGACTCCCTATACATTTAGATATTTCAAGTTAAAATTAAACACTTAAGATGTTTCACCTCTTACTTATAAACGTCCACCTTAAACAACTGTGGCTAACCATGACAGTCTACTGGTACTGACTGTATCAAGTCAGAGCACAGTGGCGTTCGTGGTGGTGGTATGAGGACTAGTGGGTTCCAACTCATAGTGACCATGTAGAGGGTTTCCAAGGCTGTAAATCTTTATGGGAGCAGAAAGTCTCATCTCTCCCTCGCCAAGTAGCTGGTGGATTCGACCTTGAGGTTAGTCCAACTAGTAACCCACTATGTTACCAGGATGCCTTAAATAAGAGCATTTGTTGCTGTTAAGTGCCATTGAGTCGATTCCGATCCATAGCGACCCTTTATAGGGTTTCCGAGGAGCGCTGGTGAGCTGGAACTGCCGACCTGCAGTTCAAACAGCTTTGCAGTCTGACGTATTAACCCACAGTGCCACACCTTACTATATAATTAGAAAAACATTTTTATTAAAAAAGGCTTACTGGCTGGGGTTGTTACACCCCTTCTACTCTGGTGAAGTGCTGATGCGCTATAGAGTAAGTAATAGGCTGCTTATCAAGGTTGGCGATTTGAGCCCACCAGCTGTTCCTGAGAGAAAGAGGAGACTTTCTGCTCCTGAAAATAGTTGTAGCCTTGGACCCAACTTAACAACACCACTCAGCTGACTTACCTCATAAAGCATGATTCGAACGTCAGCCTGCTGGCCTAAGCATCTCCTCAAACTATCCAGGATCTCAAGGCAAAACGTTTCATTAGCAACAGAACTGTAATGGTGATGAACATTCACGTAGACCTGAAACAAAGAGAGGCTGGTTCAAAACCACTTACCAAAATAGCATACATTAAGGAAACAACATGAGCCTAAGTTCTGGATCCAAGAAACTTAGATTTCGTTTTTCCCATACACCAGACAAAACCCAACATTGAGAAAGGACATTGGGAGAGACCAGGGACTGAGACAATTTACAGCCGCTCTGATGGGAGTCCTTGCCCAAGACAGAGGCTCTAGGAAGATGGCTGGTAGGAGCTGAAAAGGAGCTTCAAAGAGATTCTGAAACTACCCCCACCCACACGCCCACCTGCAGTCCTGATAACTATGCTGAGTCAAGTGTCACTCCTACTCTGGTTTGGAATGAAAGAATCTGCAAGCAATCCAACACAACTAATTCTTCCCCAATGTCAGCAGCCTCCGACGGCAAACTGATGATCATGCCGCTGAATCCAGTCAATACAGTAGACGGGATTTTACTTAAAAGGCTGAAAGGACTTAAGTGACTTCAGCAGCTAGAAAATCTGGCTTTATAAAAACTATATTGTGGTTCTTGCTGTTTAGGGTCTTCGAGTCGGTTCCGACTCATAGGAACCCTGGAGAGGGCTTCCAAGGAGTGGCTGGTGTAAGCCTCCACAAGTTCCTGGGAGGTTTAGAGGTAGTAGATATGTAGTTTTTAGTTTAGAAATGGGTATGATAAAGAACTGGCAGCTACTGTTTGACTTATATAATAAAATGACCAATTCGCTCCTTTAGCATAGTGAGGCAGTTAATAATCAGGAAAAAAGAAAAACACAAACCCACCGCCACTGAGTTGATTTCAACTCATGACAACCCTGCAGGGCCGAGGAAAAACGCACCAAAGGCTTTCCAAACCTGCAAAGTTTTATGAGAGCAGACTGCTTTCTCCCATGGAGTGGTTGGCTGGCCTGACTTTTGGGTTTGCAGCTGAGCACTTGAACCACTGTGTAACCAGACTTCTTGTTGTTGTTAAGTGCCTTCGAGTCGGTTGTTACCTATAGCAACCCTGTATAAGGTTTCCAAGAAGCAATTGGTGATTCAAGAAGCAGCTGACCTTGTGGTTCAAACTGACTTTGCAGTTCAGCGCATTAACCCATGTCAACACACCAGGACTCCTGTAACCAGACTACCTGGGGTCAAATTCTAGTTCTAGTATTAGTCATATGATCTTGGGCAAGTTATTCAACCTCTGTCAGCCCCAGTCTCCTCTTCCTTAAAATTGGAACAATAACATCTACCTTCTGAAGACTACCATGAATATTAAATGAAATAATCAATGTATACAATGTATCTCAAGCTGGGGGAACTGAAGAAAAAATACAAGCCTCGACTTTCATTATTGAAAGATTCTCTGGGCAAATTATTGAATGATGCAGAAAGCATCAAGAG